CCAAAATGTCAGAATTGCAACAATGAAGAATTTTCAAGATTCAACAAGATATATAGATGCAAGAATCAAAACTGTCGGAAAACAATATCAATGTTAAAAATTCATTCTTCGAGAAGAGCAAGATGGAAATTGTGATATTTTATTATTAGGTTACTTGTGGTTGAACAGGATAAACTACACTTCGATTGATCTTATAACCAACCAATCACATCATACCATAGTCGAGTACATCAAAAAATTTAGAGATCTAGTCATCAACACATTGGAAGAGGATGACATGATCATCGGTGGAAAAGATATTATCGTGGAAATCGATGAGAGTAAGTTCAAGAGAAACAAGGATTTTTGGGTAGTTGGTGGCGTAGAAAGAACCAAAAAGAAGAAATGTTTCTTCCTCGTATCAGAAAATAGAAATCAACAAACCCTGAAAAGAATCATCAAGAAACATGTGAGACCCGGATCGATCATTCACACAGATTCATGGAAAGGATACTTTCATCTAGAAGAACTAGGCATGATACATAAGAGAGTTAACCATTCACAGACACCACAATACAGAGGAAGCATTCACACAAACCACATAGAAGGAACCTGGGCCGCATTAAAATTATTCATCAGGGAACAAGATCGAAACCAAAACAAGATCGAAAAATATTTACTAGAATTTGTCTGGAGAAACAAATATAAAAATAATCTGTTCAATGCTTTATTAGAAGCTATAAAATCTTACAAAATATATAATTAAAACAATAAAATTGAGTTCGCCTTCAGGAGCGGCGAGCCCCTTTGCTACTGTTCTCGCAATTGCTTATGATGTGGTTGTGAATTATGCGCATGTTTGAGTGCTTCTGTAGTTCTACATTGATTAATCTGTGATGCGGGTCCCCCAATTGATGACCAAACGTCGTTGGTCATCGCCTCCCACATCGTCGATAAATCGTGTAAAACTACGCAGCCCCCAATACGTATGCATAATTGTTTTGAATAACAAATAACATAAAAGTTTATTGAAATTCCCAAGTTGAGAAAATAACTTATTATTTTTTAAAATAATCCTTTATTGTTCCTTTACGTTCAGGAAAATTAAATTCTTTTACATGTGTTTTTTTGGAACCTAGATATGCTAATCTATCTGCTTGTTCATTACCATAGATCCCATTGTGACCTTTTACGTGTTTAAAATAAACTTTTCCTT